TTAAATTTCTGAGCTACTATAAATGACTAGCATCCAAACTGTACCATTTGATGAAATCAATACAATCTTTGACTATTGAATCAAACCAACCTCTCATTGAAAAACTGACCTGCACTAAAATCCAACAATTGGAAGTTTTACAGGTGTTTTCATTGACTTTAAACTTTCCAATAAAAAAAGCTCGGTACACAAGTTATTCCGTGTTCACACAGGATCCGGGAAGGATCACATCCTAAGGGGTGTGATGTAAATAGTCTAACCTAATTAGTGACTTGTTTCTACGGCTCGAACCCGTAACCTATAGATCGTGGAGACAACTTTACTAAATTTTCCAATAAAAAGGAATTAAAATTAAAACGATAATTAGATAAAGATTTAATAGTAGTAGTTGTCTCTTTTCAACCACTTTCCTATAAAGGGATTTAGTAAAGGGCATTTGATTAGATCCTTCTTGATGACAAAATATACGTTTCGGTGAACCACTCTTCTTATGATGTGTCAACTAAGTCCTCATTTGGCCACACCAATTAAAAAATTAATTATTTTGCCAATTCAATTCTGTTCACTAATCTCTTCATCCAACTTAAAATAATTAGACTTTAGACTTAGCCATTAGTTGTTTGTCTCTTTCTAAGCTCCTTCGATCATACAAATTTTATAATATTTCTGTTATGTTAAAGTACGTTACATATAAACCATTTCAAATTTGTTGGAATGTTAATTTATAGTGATGAGAGTCTTCCTTCTGACTTTTTACGGTTGCTTATGAGACGTCATTATCATTTATGATTAATAATTAATTGTTGAAAAATTAAATATAAAAATTAAATAATCGCATCAGCACATCCTTGTGTTTAAAATATGGTCAATAGAAAAGGAAAAAAGCCAGCAAATGCAGACTTTGTCAACGTTTTGGCCAATTACCAGAATTTAGAGCCATGAAAAAGTAAACAAACTCAGCTACCTCTACAGCTATATGCTGGTTAGTATACATAAATATATCATGATTTAAACTTAACAGATTTTATGTTTTGATTCTTTGAAAATAAGGGTTCGCGATTTAATTTTAATACTTTTTTTTAAAAGATTTTCCACGTATATACTATAGTTTATGTTGAAAATAATGAGCTTCAAAGAACTCGCTTTCAATCCTCTAGGTCCGCCTCTATTAGTAAAAATGCGCAGCTTGGTGCACTAAGCTCCTGCTATGCGCCGTGTCTGGGGAAGGACCGGCTTACAATGATCTATTGTACGCAATCTTATCGATGGGTTTCTACAAGAGGTTGTTTCCACGTACTTAAAATTACACTTTAACAAGGTTATGGAGTTATGTCCTCCATAATAATTTGGTTTAGGTGAGGGGTAAGCTTGTCATTTCCTGCATTAATATCCCCCAGGAAAGAGCTTAAAATACCGGGAAAATCAACTACTCCCCTTTTGAAAGTGTCAGCAAGAAAACCATATACCAAATCCAAGAAAGAGAGCTTTTCAACGACAATGCTCAAGATAAGGCAAAACATAGCTTCTAAATTTCAAACTCATTTCAGTTCCATCCAAATTAGAAAATGGCTGCCACTTCTTGGCTCTCAATGATTCTTTATCTCTTAATTGTTTTCATTCTTTCTATTATTCCAAAATCTTTTTGCCAATCATTATCACCACAAAATGTTGAAACTTTCTATCCCTTTCCTTTACCAAATCTTCTCCCTCCTCCTATTCCACCCGTTCAACGGCCACCACCATCTCCGCCTCCGCCGCTACTTCCACCCCCTACTACACCAGCCGATACGCCTGCGCCACCGCCTTTTGTGTTAGCATCAGATTCATCATCAAAGAAAGCTGTTGGAACAGCTATTGGTGTAACTGCTGCTAGCACTATAGTTTTATCTGCCCTTTTCTTCTTCTTTTTGGTTAGGTACTCGAGGCGTAGAAGAAAGCAACGAGAAGATGGCGCGAGTAGTGATCCACGGGGTACTGGTGCTACCCCTGTGGTTGCAAAAGATGAATTCTTGAAATTTGAAGGAAATCTTAAAGGGGTGATTGTAGATGAAAATGGATTGGATGTGCTTTATTGGAGAAAACTAGAAAGTGGAGAAGTTAAAGAAAGTTTCAAGAAAAAACAAGTCTTTTCTAATGCCTTAAAAGATGAAGAAGAAGAGAAGAGAATGATTAGTAGAGGAGGTGGTGGTAGGAGGAAATCAGAACATCCAATCCAAGAATTGCCTCTGCTTAGAGGCAAATCTTCAACATCTCAAAGTCCTTCTTGGCTTGAACTAGAAAATAAACAACCAAGGCCTTCTGATGGCATAGTTTTTAAGCCTATGGAGAAGCAAGACTCTTCTAGCCAACTCGAGTCACGAGCTCTGCCTCCAGCTCCTTCACCACCGCCACCACCACCACCATTGCCTGTGACAGCAATTCAAAAGGCGCTCAATCCTCCAGCTCCACCGCCACCAGCGATAAGGAAAGGCCCTCCACTACCCCCACCACCCATTAATCCTAGTGGCTTGCCTTCATCATCAGGTGAAGGCACTTCTGGTAGTGGAAATGATAAAGTGAAACTGAAACCATTGCATTGGGATAAATTGAATGCTAATGTTGATCATTCAATGGTCTGGGACAAACTCGACCGTGGTTCCTTCAAGTAAAGATCTTTCAACTCTCCTATTTCCTACTAATTTCCTCAACAAGTGTATGTTCCACTATCTAATTTGTACTGAGTCCTTGTTTACCTTTGTATGCAGGTTTGATGGAGATCTTATGGAGGCTTTATTTGGATCTGTTGCTACAAATAAGAAGTCCCCTGGAAGAGAAGGGAGATCATTGAGTCCAAGAGAAGAAATATCAGGTCCACCATCTCAGATATTCATTCTTGAAACCAGGAAATCCCAAAACATAGCAATTGTACTCAGGACCCTTGGTGTTACTCGCAAAGAGATCATCGATGCACTAATCGATGGACAAGGTCTAAGTGTTGAGACTCTAGAGAAACTGAGCAGAATATCCCCAACAAAAGAAGAAGAATCAGAAATTCTAGCATTTGAAGGAGACCCTACAAGGCTAGCTGATGCTGAATCATTCCTCTTCCATATCCTCAAAGCTGTTCCATCCGCCTTTATTCGTTTCAATGCCATGCTTTTTAGAGCAAATTATGGCGCTGAAATTCTGCACCAGAAAGAGTACTTGCAGACACTGGAATTGGCTTGCAAGGAGCTTAAAACTCAAAGATTATTCATGAAACTTTTGGAAGCCATTCTGAAAGCGGGGAATAGAATGAATGCTGGAACTTCTAGAGGAAATGCACAAGCGTTTAAGCTTACTGCTCTCAAGAAGCTCTCTGATGTGAAAAGTATGGATGGTAAGACCACTTTGCTTCACTTTGTTGTGCAAGAAGTAGTCAGGGCAGAGGGCAAACGTTGTGTGATTAATCGTAATCAGAGTTTGAGGCGTAGCAATAGCCAGAGTAGTGGAAGAATTGCCATTCCAACATCAAAGAATTCTATTGAAAGTGATGAGACAGAGAAGGAGTATATGATGCTTGGTTTACCAGTGGTCGGCGGCCTAAGTTCTGAGTTCAGTAATGTAAAGAAATCAGCTGCAATAGACTACGACTCGCTATCTAAGACGTGCTCGATGTTAACAGCTCAGACATCAGAAATCAGGAGGCATTTAGCACAATGTGGCAGTGATAAAGGACTATTTGGAAAAGAGATGAAAAAGTTTCTGGATGCTGTAGATAAAGAAATAAAAGCAGTGAGAGAAGACCAAGATAGAGTGATGGAACTTGTAAAGAAAACAACAGATTATTATCAAGCAGGAGCTTCAGATGATAAAGGGTGGCAACCACTTCAACTATTTGCCATAGTTAAAGATTTCTTAGAAATGGTTGATCAAGTTTGTGTAGAAATTACAAGAAACATGCAGAAAAAGAAACCCCTTGTAGCTGTTACAGGATCATCATCACCGGGAATGGCGAATAATAGGGCTGTTAGATTCCCAAAATTGCCTGCCAATTTCTTGTCAGACATTTCAAAGAGCAGTTCTTCTTCTGATTCTAGTGATGATTCATGAATACCAGAAAAGAAAATCTGAAGGGATCAAGCCTGTACATAGAGAGGAAAGGATAAAGCATTTTAAGTGTACACAGATTTGTTTCACTAATGATTTTAACTCTGACATTCTTTTCCAAGTGTTTCATGATTATGTGAAATGAATTTCAATTTTTTTTCCTTATCCACAAATGTTCTTCTCCCAAGATTATCCAGCTGGAATTTTTTATGCAGATGTTGAAATTAAAAATATCTGAAGTAGAGGGGTGTGCTACTCTGTTGCCATTAAGTGCACCAAGTTGAACCATAAACCTTCTAACAATCATTAATGTGTTTTTAAAGAAGTTGAACTACATCCACCTAATGAACAAGACTGGCAAATCCGCACTTTCAATATGCAAATAGTTATATAGAATATTTAAGGCTTCCGTCCTAAGTACAAAATTGTATGTGTTAGAGCGTCCCACATTAGTTGAGCAAATGGGCTGTGATCTCCTTAAATGGCAGTTGGATAATCTTCATCTCACGAGCTAACTTTTGCAGAATGAATTACAGAGTTAGGTCCAAATTCATTTTCTTGATATAGTATCAGAGTTAAACCATCCCTATTCTTGGTTTACCCAATGTCAGCCACCGTGGAATATCTCCATGCACCAAATATCCAGTCCTTGGGTGTGCAAGGGAGGGAGGTGTTAGAGTATCCACATCGGTTGAGGTTATGGGTTCTTGTCTCCTTATATGGTCTTGGACAACTCTCACCTCACGAGTCATCTTTTGAAGTTGAGTTCGGCCAAGGTCCATTTTCTTAACAATATGCATCTAAGAAGGTAACATTCAATGCATAGGCGATAAATCGCTTTATCACACTTTTGTTCTTGCTTGAATAGAAAAGGTAACAATTGTTTTATCACACTTCTGTTCTTGCTTGAATAGAAAAGGTAACAATGAATGCACAGAAGAGAAATAATAGTTTCGATATTACGTATTTCTATAAAATCCTAATCATCAATATACAGAAACAGGAACTCCCACCTAGGGAAACCTTTTTCATTCCAGAATTGTTTTATCAAGTTGGTTGTGTTCATCATATGTTAGGCAAGCATACTCTTGACTATTGTACAAACTTCCTTATGGTTTAGACCATTTGGCATGGAAACCAAGGGTATCTATTTGACCTCTTTACCACTAGCCAGACGACTCTTCTCTTCTTCGACCTGCTCAAGCAATACTTGCAACTCTGCTTCTGTTAAGCTCTCTAATCTTTTCTGCAAGTCGAGAAAATTCAAGGCTCAACCCCACAGAATAATCACAGAAAAACTTGTAATTAATTAAAGGATGAGCATAAATATGAGAATGATGAAAATAATCCCTTTAAACTCTCAGGTGACATTGACTCCAAATTAATAAATGCGCATAAAAAAGGGTAGGAGACAACTATACAACCCTATTATGCTGTTCCTTTTTCCCCCAATATGATACAATCTAGTTGAGGACGATGTGAGAAGCTGAAGAATTACCAAGAGTTCTAGAATGAAGCTACATTTTATAGGGATAGTTCAGCTGAACTTAAATTCACAACACAGAAAAAGATAACAGCTGCAAGACTAGTAAATTGATTAAAAGAATCATTTTTCCTTGTTTTTTAACTAAATGGTAGACATAAGAAAATAAACTAAATTATATGGTTAAATTTAGTGTAACATTTGCTAACTAAGTAGAGCTTAGGAGCGTCTGCTGTAATTTAAAACCTTTGTGCATCTGATGACAATGTTTCTTTAAACACTGTTCGGCAAATAGAAGACATGTCATTCTTAAGATGTGAAACAGAAGGATTATTGAATGTTACTAAAAAAAAGAAACTGTACCTCCATGACTTTGCTTTCATAGTCTCGTAACTGTTGAGCATATGTCATTTCCTTGTTTGAAACCCGGAAGATGTATGTTGATATCCATCCAACTGTTAGACCCAAAACGAGGACTAATTGAACTACATTTCCAGCTTGTAAAGGGTCAAATCCCAAGAACTGCATAAGATGTTCGGATCAGAATTATTACAAACATGAGTATATATAGGAAAACATCCCCCCAAAAACATAGGGGAAAAAATAGAAATATAAGAGAGAAAAATGGATTATCAGAAATCAGTTCACACAAAACACCATAAATATACACCTTAGATAAGATAGATTTTCACTTGGATAGGGAACATATCATATATCAGTAATAACAAGGGAAAGTACCTATGGACTATATTTATCACCCAAGTAGCTTTTCACAAAAGTACAGAAGCATTTATTTTCATTTAAAAAAGAAGAACCATATGTGTAAAAAGATATTGAAGATGTGTAAGAAAAATCATAATACCTCTAATCCACTCTTTAAGCCATACCCTAGAAGGGTAACTCCAACGCCAATCAATATAACATCCTTTCTCGTATAGCCAAATGGTGTCTGCATTAACATCAAATTTTTGAAATGACGAAACACAAAAAGGACATACTTCTAAATAAGAGTTAACAAGAGTTCCAGAATTCAAAAGCATAACCACAACAACAACAACAACAACAACATCCCAGTATAATCCCACAAGTGGGGTCTGGCAAAAGCATAACCACAATATGGAAAGAAAATGTTGTTGGTTTTAGCATATTAAGCAACCTAAAACAATTTGCTGGTAACAGAAGTTCAAGTAACAAAAATTCCTGCCCTCCAAAACAAATAAAAGCTCGCATAAGTGATTCTGTTTTGCTAACACTAGATTAAGCAACTTTCTCCTATCTGAAAAACTCTAAATGATGATTCAAGGTAGAGGACATTGCTAAATGTTAATGATAGAAGTTTGTTCATCATTGAAGTGGTAATAAAGAAAAACGAATGAATTTTCTCCAAGCTGATGATGCAAGAATCAGAACAGCAGATTCATATGCATAATATAGAAACGCAAAATTCAAACTCTAAACATGCCTTATTCTGGCCAAGAGCTTCATCGTTACTGTCACTCGGTTTTGAGCTGGCTCTGGTGATTATAAGTGGAACTTTCTTCAAGCCCATGTTGTAGGATACATTCCTCAGGGAAGGGGAAATTCCTACTCTGAGATGTCTCTGGGAGTTAGTTATTTCTGCAAGTAGGACACAAGTGTAACAAACAATTTCTTAATCAAACAATTGAAAATCGAATATCAAAGTTGAACTAAATGTTCCTCCACAACTCCATCAGACTTCCAACACCGTTTAAAAATAAAAGTTATACCATAAACATCAACAAAATGCAAGAACGTGATAAGGAATTTGTTTAACGTGAATTTGCTGAAAACACTCATATTATTGGGATAAACTCTTTTGCGTGGATTAAAATTTTATGTACACATTTTATAGGTATATATATAGCATCACTTACAATTATAATTTAAATTGACGAATATACGAGCCTATTCTGAACTGCTCTAAATTCATGTAAAGCAGCCTAACAAATATGACCACATCAGATTTGCGAGGGAAAAAAAAACCTCTCCTCTCATTCCTCACCACATAGATATTAACTGGAAGCTGAAACCTTCTTTTTCACTTGATAAACTTTTCTCTTCAGTAAAGAAGCAATCTTGGATCATGAACATATATTACTTCTTAGTCTAACAACAATAGCTAACAATTCTACAAGATCACAAATGCTACTATTTAATATATCCAAAGGGTTTTCAGAATATAAGCAATTCAGATAGAAAAGTGACTGAGCAAAAGCGATCAAACTTTATTTTGATCAATTAGCCTTTGTTAAATTTAACTCTTCTATGTGAGTTTCCCAAAGCATAGTTAGTCCAAACACATATAAAGAAGTAGAGTTGTGGTATGTTGACCACCAAAATAAAAATAGAATCTTCTAAAAGTAAGAGAATTTATATAGTCAATCTCAACTAGTTTGGGATTGAGTTGTAGTTGATTGATTGAGTGATCAGGAACACACTCCTACTTAAGTGTACTAGTTATGTGTTCATCCGAACCAATAGCTTTGGCTCAAACCCTATATATATGTGCTACAAAGATCCACTAAATAAGTACATATAGTAGATTTCAAACCTAGTTAATCAAATGGGCTGCGATAGAATATCCAACTCGAACCCATAAATCCTGATAACATAGATTTGTAAAATATATGAAAAAGCCTTATATGAATTCTCACTGTTCATGTCGCTCTATTTAAGTCGAATGGACCATCTTTAAGTAGGAGGAGCTTTGGAAAATGAGAATGACTCACCTGGTCTAATTCTTGGTTCCATCAACGGAATAGAAGAAACACCCATCAAAGAAGAAGCTCTAGTTTTGCATAAAAGGCTACTATATACACCAGTATACGCTGTGGAACCCATTGTACTTAAGTTACCTCTACTACTCGAGAGTTGGGCTGAAATGTTTTCCTATGAATGAATTAGAGAAGAAAGAGGGAACCAATTAAGTTATTTTGAGAATTGAGACTTGAGTGGCTCAAAGTGGAGCAGCCGCGCAACAGTTTTAACCGCTTGTTATCCTCTAATTAGTTTAAATATCTTCTGTTTTTTGGGTCCATGATCTGGGTCGGGTCACGGGTTGTCAGGTGGGTGGGCGCAGATAAATGGATTGGGTTTGGCAAATGAAATTTGGTACTAGGAGTTTTTTTTTTTTGGTTCCTCTTAATATTTCTAATTGTTGTAAATAGTAGAGAAAAATGCATAAAGACCCCGTTCAACTTGTCCTGGAAAATTATTTATACATCTAAACTTTACGGGTGTCCTAACACCCCACTATTATTAAAACAATTGTATTTATCTACTCCCTCCTAAGCCCTGGCCAGCCACGCGTCTTAGACAACCGAATTGAGCGCGTCCTTGCTCTCTTTTAATTGTTGAAAACACCCAAAAAAAAGAATAAATAAATTTTTAACGTCAAATAACCCCCAACCAACGGTAAAATCCCTTCTTCCCCAATATTTTACCAAACCCAATTGAAGAATCCTAATTTATTCTTCTTCTAAATTCTGCCGAAATTGCATCAAATTGCCCTTTGAAGTTTTAATCTTTGAAAGCAAAGGTTAATCTTTCTCCTTCTTAAGAACCCTAATTTCTTTCCTTTATTATTCTTATGTCTTTCTCCTAAAATCCAATTATCTGATCTTTGAAAGCAAAGACAAATTATCTGACTTTGATATTGTCTGTTTATGTTGTAGTTGTTGCAATGCCTTTAAAAGGCTTGAATTTGACAAGGCTTTGCACGAAAGAGGAAGAAAATGAGTCAAGTGGAGAAATTTGATGCAATCATGGTTATGTGCTGCCTTTGTTAACAGCTTGGACCCCTCCAAATCTAGGAAGAAGATATTGGGTTTGTCCATACTATGGGGTAAATGACAGTGAAATTTTTTCCAATAATTAAGTTGTGAAAAATTATCATTGATTAATTTTCTTTTGTTATTCATCTTAGGGTCCACGATCTTGTGATTTTTAGGTTTGGAAGGATTCCGAAATTGATTCTAGGTCCAAATTTGTTATTCTAAAATTTCTTGACAAAATGGATGAACTTGAAACTGCATTAGAAGGCTTTGAAAATCTTGCTAAGCTGAGGGCAACTTTAAAGGTTGAAAATACTATAGAAGGGGAGAAGATGAAGAAGATTGAGGCTCAATTGGTGTAATTGCAAGTTGATATGGAGAAGATGAAAGAGAAGAAAAAGAAGTGGAAGAGTAAATTGGCTAAGTCCAAGTCTAGGGAAAATGTACTTTGGTTCATTATATTGGGGATGTGTACTATACTTGTTGCTTGTAGGTATCCAGAAATGTCATTGAAAGAAGATGCAATGAGGTTGCCATTTTGAATCTAATTTTGTCATCTCAATATGTATGTAGTTGTTGCTCGTAGGTTTTATTTTGTATGTTTGCAATGGACCTTTCATTTGAATGTAATGAACCTTTCAACGAAATGTAATCAAGTGTTGTTTCTAATGAAATGTTGTTTTTACATTGTGAAGTGTTGTAGATGTGTTCTGTTTGTTTCTTTGTATGCCCAGAACTTGGAAATCAACAATAGACACATAAAAGACTTAATATGGCAGCTGCATAAACTGTATTAAAACACATATTTGGTCTCATTGACCTAAAAGAAACAGACATAATAAACAGTCACAAAATGAAATAACAAAACATCTATTTATTGTCATTGTAGCAGCAGCAAAACAGACACCATAAGATAACAAAATGCGAAATGTAGTCTACAGCTACCTAAAAATCCTTATCATAATATAGAATTGCAGTCTATAGCTGCTTAAAATTTTAGCATAATGCAGTCTATTGCAATACAATTATCAACAAAACAATATCTTGATCAATTGGGTTGTTTTGCAGTGGTGCTTTTCTGGCTCAACTTAGCAGCCCTAGACCTTGTTTGAATGAGTTACTTGCCTCTCAATTGTTGAAACCGCCTTGATGTCATAGCTTCTTTACCTTTCCATTTAACATATCGTATTGGTTGATGGCCTAGATCTCCAGTTACTTCTGTTGAAGACCTCACATTCTTAAAGTTTGTAGAGGATATTCCAGGCTGCCAAAATCCAACAGAAAATCAGATAATGAATTCACCTAAATATGAGAGGTTGTGTTAGAACTTACATTTTGAATTTTGAAGCCACTTTGAGTATGTAAAACTCACATCCCAACCATCCTTGGCTTATTATATTGTGTTCTTACATCAGTGCTAGTACCAACATCCTACATCAACCAATTAAAAGTAAGAATCTGGCAATTATTTTAAAAAGAGAAAGAAGACATTAAAGGGAAGAACTTCAACTTTTCTTTAGAACCTTTTGACCTACCCCTTCCTCTTCCAGTACTTTGCTTTGGTGGCTTTGAACTACCAACACTTACAGGCACAGAACTTGCTGAAGTAGCAGCGTATTACTTCCAGCAGCTTTATGACACCCGCTCTTGTTATGACCCTGTTATGACAATTGCTACATGTCATTTTCACTCTACTTTTGGACAATTTTCCTATCTTATTTTCACCTGGCTCTTTTCTTCTAACCTTATTTGGCCTGCCTGGCATCTTCTTGACATGAGGTGGTATAACAGTTGGAATTTGAGACTCTGGCCATATATTCATACCCAAGACAGGCTGAAGAAAGCAACTGTATATTTTCATGTAAGTGGCAGTACTGTACCAGTGAGAAATATAGTTCAAAGGCTCTAGATTTTTATAATGCAGGGTAGCAACTGCATGAGCACATGGTATGTATATTTTTATAATTACTAGCTATTATAATTTTAAGAAAACATGACATGCTAATTGCTTGGTTAATACAAATATTGATGAAAAAAA